AATGAATAAACTCTGGTTAAATGAGAGAAAAGCATTAGTAAGTAACATTGATGAAAGATTACAAACCCTTTAGAGGCTTTTTTTTTTTGCAGGAAAACAGACTTGATAAGTTTTGGTTTTTGCAATTAATAACATCAATTTTCACCAAAAAAAAAAAAAAGGTCAACAATGTAGTTTTAGAACAAGAGGAAAAAGAATAATATGTGCACGAAGATATACTGGATAATGGAGGAAAGTAGAGGGTTTCAGAAAAACATCTATTTCTGTTTTATTGACTATTCTAAAGCTTCAGCTGTACGGATCATAATAAATTCTGGCAAGTTCTTGGTGGTATGGGCATACCACCTGTTTCCTGAGGAATCTGTATAAGGACCAAGTAGCAACAGTAAAAAATGACCACGGAACAACAGACTGGTTCAAGATTGGGAAAGGAGTATGGTAGGGCTGTATACTCTCACCCAGCCTACTCAACTTGGATGCAGAACACATCATGCGATGTACAGGGCTTGACCTCATGAACCAGCCCACGCCAGAGCTCCCTGTCGGCCTTCACCACCCCCAGCTCCTTCAAGGTCCATCCAGTCACTTCAAGGATGCCATCCATCCATCTTGCCCTTGGTCGGCCCCTCTTCCTTTTTCCTTCCATTTTCCCCAGCATAATTGTCTTCTCTAAGCTTTCCTGTCTTCTCATGTTGTGGCCAAAGTACTTCATCTTTGCCTCTACTGTCCTTCCCTCCAATGAGCAGTCGGGCTTTATTTCTTGAAGTATGGACTGGTTGGATCTAATTTTTACATATCCTTCTTTAATATACATAAGTATTTTGGTTGTATCCATATTATATAGTCCATTGTGTAAACTATAATGTAATATATTAACATTTTGATAATAATATTATTATTACAATAATAATAATAAAGTAATAACTTTATTTTTATACCCCGCCTCCATCTCCCTGAAGGGACTCGGGGCAGCTTACAAAGGGACAAGCCCAGAAAACACAGAATTAAAGCATAATGCAATAAAATAAAACAAAACAACACCAAATAGAAACATATCACAATAAAACATAACATCATAAAAACATGAAATCCCAATGTTAGAATTTTAATTTCTTCCAGGAAATTTCTGAAGGGTTCCCCGTCTTTCTTGAACATTGAAAAGTTTTTTTATCTGATGCTATCTTGTCAAAATGTCAATTTTTGCTATTTCAGCTACTTTTACTATCCATTCTTTCTTGTACTAACTTTTGAACATTAACATTGTCACTACAGAATGCATGGAGCCTAGCAGTCTTATGCTCCATGCAAGGCATTGATCTGTTGATTGGCTTCCCTTTGGAGGCAATTATCTAATCAGCTTGGTGCTAAGATGAAATCTATTATTGCCCTCTGGCATTATTGACTGGTTTTTGGAAGACCGTGTGTAGCCTCTCAGGAACGTTGGAATTGGTGGAATCATGGACTTCTTTCATCAAGGGCATGGTGGTTTGAGACCAATCCTGTAACGTGAATGCTCTGTATGGCTGTTCCAGGCAAAGAAAGGAAAAGATTGAGAAAACTGATTTCCAGATTGCCTTATATATTCATGCATAATTATAAAACTTTTAGCAAAAAAATTAACCCAAAAAACTAGTTTGACTTATCTATGGCTCTATGTTAAGCACTGTATGCGAATTCTTATCAAAAGGGAGTTGTCCCCTTTCCTGAGTAGAATAGCAAAAAGTGAAAGTTTAGTCCATCTTGGGAGAACCTAAAAGATGTACCAACACTTCCACTGTATTGTCGAAGGCTTTCATGGCTGGAATCACTGGGATGTTGTAGGTATTTCGGGCTGTATGGCCATGTTCTACAAGCATTCTCTCCTGACGTTTCGTCTGCATCTATGGCAGGCATCCTCAGAGGTTGTGAGGTTTACTTCACAGATGCAGGCGAAACGTCAGAAGAGAATGCTTTTTCGAGGTACTGCTTATAGCCTTTTTGAGTTTTTGAATGGGAAAATGGTGAGAGTGGCCAATAGTAGTTAAGCACCTGAAGCAATGCTAGTACTCTCCCCTCTTTGTGAAATGACTATCAGCTTATCTAGAGGTCCTATCAAAATCTATAACTTCGGCCCTCACCCTCGACTTATTCATGAGGTTGACTCATGCATGTACATAGGTCTTTTACACAACTGAATCTAAGACATTTCTGATACTTTGGAAAACTGTCATTGTTTTCAGCTAGCTAGCAGGGGATGATGGCATTTGTCATCCAACACTTTGGGAAATCAGCTACATCAGTGTTTCTCAACCAGAGGGTCGGGCCCCCTGGGGGGTTCATGGGAGGGCTCAGAGAGATCGCCAAAGACCATCAGAAAACACATATCTTTGATAATCTTAGGAACCCCTTTGGCAGAGAAGGCTGAAAATCTCTCCACCTGTCCTTCTCTTCCTTTTTGGAAACAGATGGCGAATCCTCCCACCAAAAGCCCTCCTCCTTCTTTGATTGTAGGTGAACCATAAATCCTAGCAACTACAACTCCCAAATATCAAGGCCTATTTTCCCCAAACTCCACCAGTGTTCACATTTGGGCATATTGAGCATTCGTGCCAAGTTTGGTCCATAGTGCTCTATGAACGTAGGTGAGCTACAACTCCAAAACTCAAAGTCAATCCCCACAAAACTCTTCCAGTATCTTCTGTTGGTCATGGGAGTTTTGTGTGCCAAGTTTGGTTCAATGTCATTATTGGTGGAGTTCAGAATGCTCTTTGATTGTAGGTGAAATATAAATCCCAGCAGTGACAATTCCCAAATGACAAAATCAACCTTCCCCCTCCCCCAATCCCACCAGTATTCAATTTTGGGAGTATCAAGTATTTGTGTCAAATTTGGTCCAGTGAATGAAAATACATCCTGCATATCAGATATTTACGCTATGATTCATAACAGTAGCAACATTACAGTTAAGAAGTAGCAACAAAAATAATTTTATGGTTTGGGGGTCATCGCAACATGAGGAACTGTATTAAGGTGTCACGGCATTAGGAAGGTTGAGAACCACTGAAGAGGCTTGTGAGGGATGTCTGTGTCTTTCTGTTGCCTTCAAGGGATCCCTGAGAGATTCCTCCATTCCTTTCCTGCAGATTGTTGCCTTTACACACAATGACAAAATAAGAAAGAGTTATTGTCTCACACACTGATTTTGCATGGGCTTGAATGTATAATTTAAATTACATCTGTCACTAATGGGCTTACAGCTTAAGTGGAAAGGGCTCAGTATTTGGTACACTCAGGGTTTTGTTGTTGGTGTTGGGTATCTCAGGAGTAGCGGAGCTGGGGAGATGTCTAATTGACATCCTTTCATGTAGTTGGTGGCCAGAATAGGTAATGTGACACACAGACTGATATTCGGGCTGAGTGGAAATCTGCGTCATTTGTTTCTATTCTCTGTTGGGATGAATCATCCTTGAGTTTTGTTTTTATATTATATATTCTTCCATTAAGGGAGCTCAGGAAATGGAGGTAAAGGCTAAGATTCAACAATTGTCTTAAAGTTGTTGAATCTTTGTTTAAAGGATGCCATAATAAAGAAAGATCTTCTAGTAAAGTCTAAACCCCTTCTATGTAGGAATAGATAACCTCATTCAACTTCTCTTCAAAGACATCCATAGAAGGAGAGTCCATCGCTGTTTGAGGCAGTCCATTCCAGTGTTGAGTAGCTCTTACTGTAAAGATCCTCCCTCCCAATGTTTAGGTTGAATTTCTTTTCCTGTAATCTGAATGCTTTGAATCCAAGAAAACAAGTTTGCTCCGTTTGCTATATGACAGCCTTTCAGAAATGGTATCATGCCATCTCCCTTTCTGTTCTTCTTCAAGCTAAACATGCCCCGCTCCTTACATAATTCCTCATAAAGCATGGTTTCCAGTCCTTTGATCATATGTTTATCTTCCTCTGGATGCATCCTAGTTTGTCTACATCAGTGTTTCCCCAGCTGTGGGTTGGGACCCCTGAGGGGGGGGGGTTCAGGATGGGGTGCCAGAGGGGTTGCCAAAGACCATCAGAAAACACAGTATTTTCTGTTGGTTATGGGGGTTCTGTGTGGGAAGTTTGACCTGATTCTATCGTTGCTGGGTTCAGAATGCTCTTTGATTGTAGGTGAACTATAAATCCCAACAACTACAACTCCCAAATGTTAAGTCTATTTTTCCCAAACCCCACCAGTGTTCACATTTTGGGCATATTGAGTATTTGTGCCAAGTCTGGTCCAGATCTATCACTGTTTGAATCCATAGTGCTCTCTGGATATAGGTGAACTACAACTTCTAAACTCAAGGTCAATGCCCACCAAACCCAGTATTTTCTGTTGGTCGTGGGAATTCTGTGTGCCAAGATTGGTGCAATTCCATCATTGGTGGAGTTCAGAATGCTCTTTGATTGTAGGTGAAATATAAATTCCAGCAACTACAACTCCCAGTTGACAAAATGAAGCCCCCCCCCCCCAACCCCATCAATATTCAAATTTGAGTATATCCGGTATTTGTGCCAAATTTGGTCCAGTGAATGAAAATTTATCCTGCATTTCAGATATTTACATTATGATTTATAGCAGTAGCAAAATTACAGTTATGAAGTAGCAATGGAAATAATTTTATGGTTAGGGGTCACCACAACATGAGGAACTGTATTAAGGTGTCGCAGAATTAGGAAGTTTGAGAACCACTGGTCTACATTCTTTTTGCATGGGGTGTCCCAAAGCAGACACATCATTCCAGATGTGCCCAAAACAGAACTGAGTTCACATCATCTGGATACTATACTCCTTAATAAGCTTTAAATATGATCACACAACAGTGTGCTTCATTGTGAATTTTATTTCTTCGGGATCACAAATGGTTCTTCCCAGGTCTTAGAATATAGAATTGCAGACTGATGCTGTATATTAATGTGTGGTTCAGAACTGACTGAGAGAAAGGGTTTATCTGTTATCCTAAATTGTATGTTCTTTTATTTCTCCTTCCAGACCATGGCCAACATCTCCTCTTTTGGCAAGTACACCCATGCGATTGTCCGGTGCATTCCCTCCTCATTTGGTACAGCAGAGACTTCAGCGGATGGGTCCGACAGTGGAGCTGAGCCCGTGGATCTGGCAAAGGCTCACCGGCAATACGGTGTCTACACGGGCATCTTGCGCCAGAAGCTAGGGCTGCAAGTTATTGAGCTGGCTGCGGATGAAGCCCTGCCCTATTCCACATTGGTGGGGGATCTGGCGGTGATACAAGGAGACACTGCGCTGCTCACACGACCGTGGATACCCTCCCGGCGAGATGAGGTAACTCTTATTTGTAGCTAAGTGGTCTGTGCTAAACTGTCTTGAGAAGCCTTGCAAAACAGTTGGCAGAAATTAATAACTGCTTTCTTGAATGCATTAGCAAAGAGCTGTTTTTCTCCTGCTGTCCAACATTGCTTTGTCGAGTCTCCTGCAGACAACAATAAATAACAGTCTTTGTGTACCTTCATGTTGCCTGTCAAGTTATGGCAGTTCCATGACTTTTCTTAAGCAAAGTATATTCAGAAGAGGTTTTGCCAGTTCCTTCTTCTGAGATATAGCCAACAGTACCTGGTATTGATTGGTGGTCTCCCATCTAATACCAGGCCTGATCCTGTTTAACATCCAAGATTAGATTGGATCTGGTGCCCACAATGTATTTAGACCTCCTGAAGCACCCTAGATTAAACTTCTTAAACGTTCCTCACTTTCAACACCCTTTCCCCCGAGAAATGTTTACATGACCCCAGGTTGTTAGGTATATACAATAGGTATACAAACTAAACATTAATAATAATAATAATAATAATAATAATAATAATAATAATAATAATAGATCTATACACATAATAAAAGTGAAAATGTGTGCGTGTGTGTACTTGTGTGTGTGTGGCTGGGGTGTCCACTTACACAGATAAGTTTCTGCCTCCACAAGCAGCTATAGCTCCCACTACTCAGGAGACACCAATGGCCATCCCTCCAATGACATTGCAGGTTATTGTGTGCACCATGAACATGTACAAGAGCCCTACCAATGTCCTCCACAATCACCACACTACCCACCACCCAGGTGAAAACTTTCATGCAGGGATAATTTCATCCTAAATTTCATGTGTTTCCTCCATCACAGACACCCCAGTGTTTCTTACTCTCTCCATTGGTGTGGAATTTGCATGACCCTGCCCACTGCCTCTCCCTTAACCTTTTCTTATTCTTTTCTATGGTACACAGCAAACAGAGCAACTGAACATACTAGATAGGTTTGGGGAGAATTCACCATGTTTTACAGGAGTTGTAGGTACTGGGGTGTATTGTTCACATGCAATCTAAGATCACTTTGAACCCCGCCAATGATGAACCTGGAACTAACTTGGCACACAGAACCCACATGACCAACAAAACATACTGGAAGTATTTGGAGGAATTTGTAGGAGTTGTAGTTCACCTACATCCAGAGTACACTGTGAACCCAAACAATGATGGATCTGGACCAAATTTGACATGCATACCTGATATGCCCAAATTTGAATTTTGGTGGGTTTTGAAGGGAATTGGCCTGGACATTTTGGAGTTGCAGGTACTGTGATTTGTAGTTCATCTGCAATCAGTGAGCACCCTGTCTTTGGAGGAAATTCACCTTGATTTGGGGAAGTTGTAGTTCACCAAATCCAGAGAGCACTGTGAACCCAAACACCAATGGATGTGGACCAAACTTGGCACACATGCCTGATATGCTGACATTTGATTACTGGAGGAGTTTGGGGGGGGACAGGGGACTGACCTTTCTTTCTGGGAGTTGTAGTTCACCCACAACCAGAGAGCTCACTGAACCCCACAGGTGATGCATCTAGAGCAGAATTGCCCAACATAACAAACTTTAAGTACTGATGAAGCTTTTCGGGGTTAACCTTGCATAATATGAGTTGTAGTTCACCTACAACCGTATGCATTTTGCACAATTAAAAAACTGATTTTTTCAAATAACCCAGACAACATTGGGTACTCAAACTAGTAATAAATAAAATAAACTTTATTTCTATCTTGCCCTATCTTCCCGTGAGGACTCAGGGTGGCTCACAACATAAAAGGGCAAACATTCAGTGCCATAAAAATTAGAACAATAAATTAAACAATTCAGATAAACAATACACAGCATTAGACAATAAAACAAAGCACATGAAAGCAATAATACAATTTACACAGTGTCAATAAAAACGGGGTTTAAAGGTTATATCCATATTCCATTCCATTCCATGTTGATTTAGTAATGATAATAAATCAGCATTTGCAAGGCTTGCTAAAGAGCTGAAGCATTTTGTGCGGAGTTGACTGTAAACCTGCACATTGTTGCTAATGAATTTGTGTAAATGAGTGGCATTCAGAAACCTTTTAATGCTACCCAATTTTTGTGACCCCAACACTGAGCAAAGGGGCACCATTTGGGGTCGGGACCCAAAGTTTCAGAAGCGGCATCCTAGATGTCCAGAACAGTGGCTGTATACAAGCTCTGGGAGAGAGCATAATCTTCTGCCTAATTGTGTCAAACTGCCATGATTTTTCTTAATGGCTTTTCAAACAGAAAGAAAGAAATAGATTCATGGATTAAGGGATTTTTCAAAATTTGTCCCTGAGACCATAACCTTCAACCCTTTTACAGGGGAGTCAGTCTTCTTGGATACAGTGGGTTTTCCATCTGAGTCAACATGCTTTGGAGTGCGCTGTTAAGCCCTGTCTGTTCTCAAAGGGAGGCTGGCAGCAGCGTCTAGCTGTCTGTTAAGCCCTCTCCATGGTAGGCCCCATCTGTTCCTTGGTAGAAACCTTTCAAATTAATCCCACCCTTGTTGCCTGACCAGTTGCCTCAGCAATTGCAGTCACGCCTCATCCATCCCCCGCGGCTTGTTTCCCAGCCCGGGTTTTGCTTACTGGATACAAGAGTGGCCGTACATATCCTCTCTTGACCTTTGTGAATAATTGACCCTTCATCTCCTTGTCATCAGAAGTGAGTTGAGATACCAGAAGAAGATGGTTCTGTGAGAAGAAGAAAGGGACTCTCTTTTTTCCCTCACTGACATTTTCTTAACAATATGTGTTTTGAAAAATATATACAAGCAGAACATCCTCATATGTGTGACGGTGAGTTGTAAAAGGATCAGCACCAAGTATATGTGTGTGTTAAAGAATACCATATGCTGTTAATTATCATGTGCAGCTGCTAATCTAGGTCAGCAAGTAAGTTTGAGCCACACCCGGTGGGGCATAACTGTATGTGGTTTAGAATACAGTTCAGCTCAATGGTTCAGCACCACAATTCAAGAAAGATATTGACAAGCTGGAATGTGTCCAGAGGAGGGCGACTAAAATGATCAAGGGTCTGGAGAACAAGCCCTATGAGGAGCGGCTTAAGGAGCTGGGCATGTTTAGCCTGAAGAAGATAAGGCTGAGAGGAGATATGATAGCCATGTATAAATATGTGAGAGGAAGCCACAGGGAGGAGGGAGCAAGCTTGTTTTCTGCTTCCCTGGAGACTAGAGCGGAACAATGGCTTCAAACTACAAGAAAGGAGATTCCATCTGAACATGAGGAAGAACTTCCTGACTGTGAGAGCCGTTCAGCAGTGGAACTCTCTGCCCTGGAGTGTGGTGGAGGCTCTTTCTTTGGAAGCTTTTAAACAGAGGCTGGATGGCCATCTGTCAGGGGTGCTTTGAATGCAATATTCCTGCTTCTTGGCAGGGGGTTGGACTGGATGGCCCATGAGGTCTCTTCCAACTCTTTGATTCTATGATTCTATGATTCTATGAATGCACAAAAAGCCTTTGCTCTGTGGAGCTTATGCTCACAGCATTTTGCTCAACCATTTATGCTGCTCATTTGAAGGAAGATGAAGTCTTGCTCTTTGCGTTCTGTTTTTCTTACAAGGACTATGTGAGTTTGTTGTACTGTTTATTTTGTATGCAACACTGCAAGTTTATTTATTTATTTATTTGGAGCTTTTATAACCTGGTCTTCTCAACCTCTGAAGAGGGACTCAGGCTGGCTGACAGCAGAAAATTCATACACAAACAGAGTAAACATAATAGCATCATAATACATTAATACAAATTACATTAAAATACAGATCATGTTTTACTCTGCTGACAAGAGTAAAGTTTTCTTTTCTTTTCCTCCTGCTTTTGTGCAAATTTATTGTGTCTTTTGCATTATTGGACCAGACTAAATACCGCTTAAGCGCAACACTAGAAGTGTTCTGCATTTTGGAATACTTGCATGTACGTAATGAGTTGTCCTGAAGATGAGACCTAAGTTTAAACACCATTTCATTTATGTTTCATATCTATATGCTTTTGTTACATCCTGGATAGATTACTGCAACGGACTTTGAAGACTGTTGGGAAGCTCCAACTAGTCCAATGTTCGGCAGCCAGGTTGCTCACTGGAGCGGCATATAGAGAGCATACAACCCCTCTGCTATGCCAGCTCCACCGGCTGCCAGTCTGCTACTGAACACAATTCAAAGTGCTGGTTTTAATCTTTAAAACTCTGTACGGTTCCGGCCCAGATTACCTGTCCGAACGTATCTCCTGTTACGAACCATCACAAAGTTTAAGATCAGCTGGAGGGGCCCTGCTCCCACCACCATCACAAACGGGGTGGTGGCCCCCCCACCTGTGGAACTCCCTTTCCAGCAACATCAGACTGGCCCCCTCCCTCCTGTCTTTTAGAAAGAAACTTAAAACCTGGTTATGGGACCAAGCGTTTCAGCAATCGAAGTCAGCCTTGGCACGGACGGGTCCAGGAGGACACCACCATTACTCTCCTTAAGGCCAGCTGTGGCACCAATGGGCCCAGTAGGGCCCTGCCATTGCTCTCCTTGAGGCCAGCCATGGCACCATCAGGTCCAGGAGGGTCTCGCCATCACCCTCTGCCAGGCCATTGCTACTCCAGTTGATTTATTGTTATTTAATATTTGATCATTTTGGCAATGAAGGTTTGCCACTTTTTTCTTTGCTTGTAAACAATCCTGAGTCTCTTTGAGGAGATAGGGTGGTATATAAATAAAGTATTGTTGTTATTATTATTATTATTATTATTATTATTATTATTATTAGAAACACAACAAGATGAGTCCACAACAGACACTCTGCTAGCTGTTGTATTGGATCACACGTCAGGCACTTCTCAGGACTGTGTGATATATCGGTGAATAATGCGTGCAGATCCCAGTAAGGTTGCCTTTTGCAGCTGGCAGATGGTAATTTTGTCAGTGCCAATTATGTTTAAGTACA